ACGACACTCTAGAGCCAGAGTTGCTTGTTGCTTGTCATGTTCGCGTTGCATCTCCAACTCGCGTCGTTTGGTTTCAAGCTGTACTCGTTCCCGCTCCTGGAGTGTTTCAAGCTGTACACGTTCCCGCTCCTGGAGTAGTGCAATCTCACGTTCTTGTTCTTCTCTCCGTATGGTAGCTGCTTCTCTTTGCTGCTCACGTTCAATCTTAGCCAGCTCTAGTTTAAGTTTCAGCGTTGCCAAATCAGTTTTATCTGCAATATAGTAAGTTTCATGAGTTTCAGAGTCTATCTTACCTTGCTCTAAATAGTAATCCAGCAACAGGTTGTGTAGGTCATTTTTGTTGGCTTGGTAGGGAACTTCTAGTTGATACTCATGTGCAAGAGTTTGTAATTCAGTCCTCTTGGCACGACTTAAAGTCCCTATTTCACCTGCTGGATTTGCACGGAAAGTTTGGAGACGAAACATGGTGAAATTAGCAAATAAAGGTACACGAATGTTCAATAATGAAATGTCAGAAACAGGACAACGTGGCAACTGGTACCTATCCTGTGTGATCTTTAACAATTAACGTTAAGTGAAAGATATTAAATGATTAAATTAAATCAAGGGCGCAGGAAATCTTGTACCCGGTACTCATGTAAGAGAATAAGGGCAAGAAAATCCTACTAACAAATGAAACAAAGTTTCGAAAACAAATGAAACAGTTAAATGCTTCAAAAGTAAAATTGGTAGTCCAAGGATGTAGGCATACCTTGCCAAGTCTCTATAGGACATAAAGCAAGTTTTTCCTACTGAATTTAATATGATACTTACAGAATTAGCGAACTTTTGTGCTCTGAAAAAATAAGCTAATTCCCTACCGTTGTATGTATCATCATCTCTGACTGACGTGTAGGGGTGCGAGGTGTCAACTGGTGACGAGAACTGCTGCTGAGGTCCCAATTCAGCAACTAAAGTTCGAGCTAGAGGAACTATGGCCCTCTTTGTCCTCCTACAGTCAGATTGCAGAAGATTGGGTACTCTTGACCCGGGGCAGACCACAGTACCAGGGTACCAATATGATGATCTGTCAGAATGAGAAATATTCAAGGGACATAGATGGTAAATACGAGTAATAACATGGAGGGAGAGATGACCAATTAAGAGTATGACTGAGGCCTACAGTCACCACGTAATCCAAAGTTGTCTCACCTTCACTATATGTTACTCTCGTAATGCACAATACACCGCACCTTATAAAAAATGAAATTGAATGAAAAATAGTAAAGCTACGTTAACAAAGTTAAATACGCTTACCATAAATTACCACTTGTCACCAGTACCTGAGTGAAGCTCCTAGGACAGGCCCCCATATAACTTGTGACGGTAACGCGTTGGTGTTCGGCTGTTTAAGGCTAGGGGTATGGCCTCGTCACATAGTTATAAAAAAAAATAGAAAAACTGGAACTTCGTCTGTGGTAAGGTAAGGAGAAGACACACAAAACACAAGTAAAACTTTAACAATGAAATTTTAATGACGTTAAATAAATCAAAACATGAAAATAATGCACAAACAAATTCTTATAATAAAATCAATGAATCAAAATAATAAGAATTCTTAAATGACAAAATGAAAAGTTACGTTAAGGCAAAATAACAAGAAGTGCAATACAACAGTAAGTGGGAGGTGCTGGAATATTGGCTTAAAGCCACCACCTCTCTCAGTACACTCTAGAGTCTAGCTGGGAGGTGTGCTGGCTACGAAAGCACGGAACATTCTGAAGACTGATGTTGGGGCGACCCCAGACATCGGGTAGTATTGGGGGGCGAGTGCAGGTGCAGCCAGACCGGCGACCAATCAGCGGAGCCGTAGTGATCAACGGGTAGTTTGGTGATTTGGGTCCGAACAGGTGGCGGGCTGCATACGTTTCTGCTCACCCTTGCAAGCCTTGCTGGTGTTGTTGTCGTTGTTGGACATTTCTTCCATAGTCTTTTTATATAATTGTGAAGACGTAATTTTGGAGGGAAGAGCAGGCTCAATCTCTTGAAGGAGATTATCGTCACAATATATATATATATATATATATATATATATATATATATATATATATATATATATATATATAAATAAATAAAACTAACATGTATTATTTAGCCATGATAGTATTACAGAAGAGCCTGAGTGTGATAATGACTGTGTACAATGTTCAAATATCAGTGATTCAATGCTGTTCACGATGTTCACAGCGCTAGCCACAGCACCACAGCATTATTTCGTCCCGCTAGGAATCGTCAAACGACTTCGTAGGTGTTGGAGGAGTGAAGGAGTATTGGCTGCATGTCGCAGCTCACACTCGCGGAGTTCTGAGTGTGTTTATGGTGTGTGTATATAGTGTGTGATACTGTACAGTGTGTAAATAGATTGTATATACAGTATACATAAATTAGCATGATACATTGGAAATATGTGCCTGATATGTGTACACATGTGTCATGCATGTAACACAGTGTCTTCGGACAGTACGTATGTTCTACTGGCATAATATAGTGTACGTTTTCATTATAAATATGATTGGCATGAAAAAACAAATAAAATATATTTGGAACTATGCGCAAAAAATGAACAAAAATATATTCGTGGCAACTCGCGCATCTTGACCCATGCGCCCTACTGGGCCCGGGAACATACGCCAGGGATTGATGACATCACAAGCGAACTTACGGACCCCATAGCAGCCAAAGTAAGTACAATTTCAACTTTTTGTTGACATACTCATACTCAGGGAAGGGTTTTTTACACTTTCAAAAAAAACAAAGAATTTTTTCCATAGAATTTATTTCCTGCGCACTGGCGGAGGGGGGGGGGGAGGGATGCCATATTTGGAAGCCAAGCAGTTGAAGGGTTAATGAGTTAAAATAGTAATATATATATATAAAGGATGTATGCATATATGAATATTGATAGAAGTATGAGCAGTATAAAATTAATACTTATAAATGGCAGTCATTAATATTTGACTAATTTAATATACAAAATTAATATTTGTAACATCATCATTATTGCCCATTTCTCACTTTTGTGACGTAAGGAAGTATTAACCCGGAGAAAATAAATGTGGGGAGCTATATAAAAGATTACAGTACATTAAATATGTAATAATTACATTTGTCCATTCTCCTTATTTTACACATTACATGGCATCACAAATAAAATACCATCATATTCCAGCAAATCATTGACAGCAACATCCGTCCTATTCATTAGATTAGGTGTGCAGTGCCCCTTGTGAGCATTCTCTCTTCACAGACTGCTTCCACCTGTTCACTAGTGACCAACCCACATCTCATACACTCTTCATACTCACCATGCATGTGCATTTTCCTCCTCTTATTACCCTGATATTATTACACAACATTTTCTACCAGTCTGTCATCATACATTTATTCAGTGTTATTAAATCATCTGAGTATATTCTCTTTGTAATACAGGTTGAAATTAAGATTTGCTAAGTAAAATTTGCCCATAGAACATGAGAAATAAGAAGTTATGAATGTTATCTCTTAATATTGCTTGAAATGTATTTTTAGAGATTTTCTTGAATGATTCAACATTAGGAGTTGTTAATGTGGGAAAACTATTAAGCATAGTTTAAATAAAATTCCATGCTCGGTTTTCTTTTAAGTTTAACAGTTTTCATTCATCAGATTAGGGTGTCATGGTACTATTTTTAAAAAATAAGGTTTAAGGGCTAAGGCATGGGTAAGACTGTGATTAAGGGTGAATCAGGAGAACCTATCAGGTTCTTCTGATAGATATACGAAGAAGGAGGAAAGGATACCAGGGCATAAAGAGCCCTTGAAAATTTAAAGGAAATACAGTATTTATGAAAGAAGCAAAATATAAATGGGATAAAGTATGGAATGAAGTTAAGGAGTCAACTTCGAAAAATGCATGGAAGAAAATCCCAACAGTTCCAGTTAATGAGGGTGAAGAAGAAAATTGAAGCTTTGAGGAATTTACTTATGAGTTTCATGGTATATTCAGACAAGATTGTGAAGATGTAGACAAGATATTATGGATTGGTTTGAATAAGATTCTATTGAACTAGATTATGGTATGCTGACTGAAGATTATTGAATCCATTACTAGTGAGGTGGAGAGAGGCCAGGAGAATGAAGAGGAAGACGAGGAAGCAAAAGCACTGATCACAAGATTCAGTGATTGTCTGCCATGACATGTTGACAAATTAATTAATTATGCTGCCAAATAGTGAAATTCAAGATATTGAAAGTTTATATCAGTACAATACTTGAGATGGGGCAAAGAGCTGATCTGAAAGCCCAAGACCTTCAACCAGTGAAACCTTCATAGTGTTCCAACCATCTCAGGCCAGTTCACACCCAGACCACTGTTTTCTAGTACTGTAATTTAAATCCTGACGGATGGGCCTCGTGAATTTGTGTGGTATTTGATATAAAATTTGTTCATTCATTTGCCAACTGTACTTTTATTCAGGATGCCACATATTTTAGAACCATCCTATGTCCTAATCGTGACTATTATCGCTCTATATGATTGGCAAGCAATGACACACTCCCATGCTTTCAAACATCGTGCATTTGCACTGAGGCGGATGACAGGTTAATTCCCACTACCACTCAAGAAGTTGTCAGTACTGTCATTTGCATCATCTCAGGCCTAGGGAACATCAAATTATTGTGATTTATTGTGAATAAATCACCTAATGCTATTTAAGGTATCATATTGAGAGGTGAGGACATATCAAGTTACAACCCCACTCCTGTGCCAGGTAAGTCCACTACAACCTCACCATAGCCCGTGCTGCTTGGAACTTTTTGTTCCCAGTAGCTGAATCTTAAACAACAACAGAGGTGAGAAGGCAGTATGAAAGTGTGAATGAATAACTTAACAAATTTGTTCTTATATTTATGCATAAAGTTATAATTTGGTAAAGAATAAACAAAATGTCTCATTTGTACTTGCTTCTATTTCCTTGCAGTGAAAAATGTGATAAACCTAGATGTTGGGAGACATACGTAGGTCAGCAGCTGTACAAATTGACAATTTTGGATTTGATTATTATGTTTACATCAACTTTCCTGGTGAACCTGCCCCGCAAGTGTATTGGCCACAAGCTCATGCGCGGCAGTCGTATTGGGGCTGCCATAGGAGATATAGAGTTTATAATTCCAAAGCATGTGCTGGATATTGTGTATGGCCAGACACTGTGCTGGCTTGGGATGTTTTACTCTCCGATACTTCCGGCAGTGACTGGCTTCAAACTAGGTATGTGCATTAGTTTTAATCCAAAGTTATTTTATGTATTACTTTATGGCAATACAGTGAGAACTTACTTGAACGAACTGTACTTGGTGAGGCTAATTCATTCCATAAGGGATTTTGTTCGACTCATTGCACTCCAGGCATCCCCTCCCCCAGGGTAAATTATTTATATACTGCACAGTGTGTGTAATTACTTAAGAGTAGTTACAGGATGAGAGCTACGCTCGTGGTGTCCTGTCTTCCCAGCACTCTTTTTCATATAACGCTTTAAAACTACTGACGGTCTTGGCCTCCACCACCTTTTCATAGTTGCAAAAGTGAATTTTCTTATATTTCTTTGGCATCTGTGCTTAGTTTAAATCTATGACCTCTTGTTCTTGAAGTTCCAGGTCTCGGGAAATCTTCCCAATTGATTTTATCAATTCCTGTTACTATTTTGTACGTAGTGATCATATCACCTCTTTTTCTTCTGTCTTCTAGTTTTGGCATATTTAATGCCTCTAACTTCTCTTAGAGTGCAGTTCATTCGTGTGAGGACCCACTCTTTTTAATAGGAGCTTTATAAGCTATTAAAAATATGACAAGATGAAATACAGCATGTTTATCATTCTTAATCAAATATTTACAAAATAATCTTATTTCTTGTTTCAGTTCTTGTGTTCTACATAAAATATTTTGACTGTACAGTGAATAGTAGTCAGTCGTCTCAACTCTACCGAACATCTCGCTCAAATGCCCTCTTCATCAGCATTCTCCTCGTGTCCTTCATTGTTACTATTATTCCTGTTGGCTATTCTATTGCTGAAATAAAGCCTTCAGTTGCATGTGGCCCATTTAGGAACCTTAATACCATCTGGAGTGAAATGGTTGGGGTCATATCAGGTATGTAACAAGCTTAAGGCTATTTAATTAATCAGATGTCTGATTATATCTCTACCCTGTACTTGCAAATGTGTTTATCATCATAATTATGATGATAATCATTATCTCAACATCTTTCCAAGTCTGCATGTGGAGAAATAACTGGACCCTTTGGGGGAATGTCTTTATACCATACTGTACAGTAATTGTCATTCATTGTCTTACTCTTTATTGTATCAATAAAATATGCTAATGTTTTTAGTTCAGAATATTTAGTGAATCTATAGTGAAGTACAGTATTTTTGGATATCAATTTAATATTATTTTGTTGTGGCAGGAGAGTACTGTACATCAATATAGTATATTGGATTCAAACAATTTGATTTGTACGAATGCATTTAGTTTCAATCTCATTGGACAGTTCTATGGCTTTCTGGAAAAACAGGTGCTGCTCAAGTGCAAGTCAACTGAACTGTACGTACAGTTCAGTATTTCATTATACTGATATATTGTACCATTGTTGGGCACAAGCAACCTTTATAGGCATTCTTTACTATCAAAATGAAAACAAGCTTTATATTTATTTTCAAATTAGGCCCATTCACTTTCACACTACATTAATTTTTAGTAGTAGGGATCTTGAGCAGCAACAGTAATTGGGGTGAAAGCGGTAAGAGGATCATTAAGATATCACTGCCAACAGGCATAACATGGAGATATTATATACAGAAAATCACAGGATCACATAACCTTGTCTTACTTGAATACATTTTTGATAAAACATTTTTGCAGTTTCAAATTCCTTGTGCAGCAATATTGATCAATTTTCAAAATAAGTCTAGAAATAGTTAGGACATGTATTTGTTATTATAATACTTACATTACTAATTTCTGTGACAGAGTCTCCCAGCTGGCTAAAGACTGTGTTGTTCTTCATTGGCACAGCAGGTTTTGCTGTTCCAGCCATTATTATACTTATCCTGGCCTGGTATTATTACTATGCTGTCGCTGCAGCCAATAAGCACATGGTTGCTCTACTGAAAAATCAATTGATCCTGGAGGGGCATGATAAGCAGTTTCTCTTGTCAAGATTGGATCATATGATTAAGAAAACAGCAGAAGAGGAGGAAGCAGCTAGGTCTTCCAGCAATGCTGAAGAAGAGACGGGACATAGTAATGACCAAACTCTAGAAGCTTAATTAAGGTTGTATTCATGATATTGGAGTAACAAATTATAAGATGTACACTTTGTTATTATAATTGGTAAAGTTTTTCACCCCTAGCTGTTATCTGTAATTAGGGGTTCAAACATAAATACCATTACTACTTACATATAAGTAGGATTAACATAATTGTTGTAACAGGCTTTAAAATACAGAATAAATAAACAATAGATACACACACACACACACAGTAACAGGCATTGATAAAATTGATAGGGAAAATTTCCTGAAACCTGGATCTTTCAGAACAAGAGGTCATACATTTAAACTAATTAAACAAAGATGCCGAAGAAATATAAGAAAATTCACTTTCACAAACAGAGTGATAGACGGTTGGAACAAGTTAGGTGAGAAGGTGGTGGAGGCCAAAACTGTCAGTAGTTTCAAAGTGTTATATGACAAAGAGTGCTGGGTAGACAGGACACCACGAGCTTAGCTCTCATCCTGTAACTACACTTAGGTAATTACACACACACATGCACACGCACGAGCGAACACGAACACAAGATATAATATCAGACAGACAGTATGGTTTTCGATCTGGATGATTCTGTGTAACAAATTTACTCAGTTTCTATGATCAAGAGATGGTTGGGTTCATTGCATCTATCTGGACCTTAAAAAGGCTTTTGACTAGAGTTCCACATAAGAGGTTGTTCTGGAAACCGGAATATATTGGAGGGGTGACAAAAATGAAAATAAAAAAATGAAAAATCAGTTAGGAAATGAAAAATTTCCTAACTGATAGAAAAATGAGGGTTGTAATCAGAGGAAATGTATCGGATTGGAGGAATGTCATGAGTGGACTACCACGGGATTCAGTTCTTGCACTGGTAAAGTTCATTGTCTACATAAACGATCTACCAGTTGGAGTACAGAATTATATGAACATGTTTGTTGATGCTAAGATAATAGGGAAGATAAGAAACCTAGATGATTGTCATGCCCTTCAGAAGACCTGGACAAAATAAGTATGTGGAGCAACACTTGGCAAATAGAATTTAATAAATAAATAAATAAATAAATGTTTATTTAGGTAAGGTACATACATACAAGAGATTTTACAAAGTTTGTTGGATTAATAGATAGAGCTAGTACATACAATGCCTAAAGCCACTATTACGCAAAGCGTTTCGGGCAGGTAATGTGAATAAATGCCATGTTATGGAATGTGGAATTGGAGAACATAGACCCCCACACAACCTATAAATTATGTGAGAAATCTTTAAAGAATTCTGACAAAGAAAGGGATCTAGGAGTGGTTCTAGATAGAAAACTGTCACCTGAGGACCACGTTCAGAACATTGTGCGAGGAACCTATGCTAACTTTCTAACTTCAGAATTGCTTTTAAATACATGGATGGAGAAATACTAAAGAAATTGTTCACGACTTTTGTTAGACCAAAGCTGGAATATGCAGCGGTTGTATGGTGCTCATATTAAGAAGCACATCAACAAACTGGAAAAGGTGCAAAGACATGCCGCTAAGTGGCTCCCAGAACTGAAGGGCAAGAGCTACTAGGAGTGGTTAGAGGCATTAAATATGCCATAACTAGAAGAAAGAAGAAAAAGAGGCGATATGATCACTATGTATAAAATAGTAACAGGAATCGATAAAATTAATAGGGAAGAATTCCTGTGACCTGGAACTTCAGGAACAAGAGGTCATAGATTTAAACTAACGAAACAAAGCTGCCGAAGAAATGTAAGAAAATTCACTTTCGCAAGCAGAATGGTAGATGGTTGGAAAAAGTTAATGAGAAGGTGGTGCAGGCCAAAACCGTCAGTAGTTTCAAAGCGTTATATGACAAAGAGTGCTGGAGAGACGGGACACCACGAGCGTAGCTCTCATCCTGTAACTACACTTAGGTAATTACACACACACACACACAGTATATATTTTTTTATTTATATTTTGATTGTGATTTCATGGGGGGAAAATGTATATGGTGAAAAGATACGATTATCATAATTTTCCTGGTGTATTAAGAGAGAATGCATTTTATAGAATTTATACATCTTAATGAAAGTAACAAGGGCATTTGTGAAGGATAGTGAGTAAGTGCTTAAACCTTAGTCATTATTTTTTACTTAAGTAGAAATTAGGTTGGGTTTTCTTATAATTGTAATCAAAGTTTTATAATAGTTGGTAAATATTGCTTTCTTATCATAATGTGTTTAAGGAATCTCACTGAATCTCATTTTATTTTGTGAAGTAGTGTGGTATATATAGTGTGTACAATAATTGTTTTACATCTTCCATATATCTGTGTAGATGCATGCCGATTTATTTCACCAAGTTTTCTTTGAATCATGTTGAGGAACATTTTTAGATTCTTTCCCATCAACTACATAATGACAAATTATAATTTGAACTATAGTGTGAAGGAGCCTGACCTAATTAATATGAAATTAGCAGTTATTTGAATATTGTATTATCTAGATTTTTAATATATTATGTAAATAATCTTATCCCAAGAATATTATTTATAAACATTTCAATGCTACATCATAGTGTTATCTACATTTAAATGGAAATATTGATTCATTGATGTTTTCATTTGTCAAAGATTTTTCATTTGAGGGAGATATTTGTGATGGAGGCATCCTTAGATACATAGATTAATCATCATTCAGATCTCTCCGCATCAGTAGATGGGAGCAAGGAAAGAAAATGTGTCCTTACATTTTCAACAATAAACCAAAAAAAAAGACAAACTAGGTTAAGTACTGTAATGTTATAAGTCAGGTAAAGCCATTCTCTGGTGACAGAAGATGCAAATGGAATTATGTATTAGATATTATCTTTGTTTAAAAGGAGTGATCACTACTCAGTAGCTTTATAGGTGTACAAAACTATAGTGATGGTAAAAGACAATAACACTAAGCAAATACAATCAGGTAAGGACAACATATATGACATGGTTTCTAATGATTTACATTTAAAGTGAAGAGGTGTAATGAAATAATGCCTTAATGAAAGATATTAGTCTTCTTTCACTGCTTCCCAGTACACATGTGTATCTTAAATAAACTTCATTGTGCTTTCTGTATCAGGACATTCTGGCCAACGATTCAGGTGCGCTGGCTCGTTTATTGGAGAACGTCTTATAATTTTCTTTATATGATCTTGGACTGCTCAGAAAAATTAAGATGGGGAAGGGCATAAAGGTATGCACTTTTTTAATTGCACTTTTATTCATTTAAATATTATCCTGTTTATTTGCTATTTTTATCTTTATAGAGAACAACCACTCGAATGATTGCCTCAGATCTACCACTAAATTTTACAATACAGTACTGTATTTCCCACTCAAAACTAATAATGCATATGAATTATGAAGGTCAAAACATCAAATGGTGCTTTATAGCATTCCTGCCTTCCATTGTAAGGTCACATGCTGTGTGTGCTTCTTAAAGAACTCTATATTTTCCTTTGCTTTTTTCTGCAGTGAGCATTATAAACAGGGTAGTAAGTCAGCAGCTGTATGTACTGGCTTCTTTGGGTTCTTTATTGAAGCCCAAAAGTCCTTATGATTTTTAAGGAGGTTATCAGAACTTCAGAATGACCATATAGTTGCATTTATTTGGCTCTTTGGAGTCGTTTGCCTTTATTTCCTCGTTATATCCAATAACGAGGGAGAATTTTGACTTGAGCTTCCTTTTTTTCACCAAGAGCCTTTATTAGTATACAGTATGGTTCCACAAATGAGTTGCTTATTGTTAGGTGGATTTTTGTTGACTTTTCTGTATGTTAGTTTTAGTAATAATTTAGTTGTCAAGGCTACAAAACAAATACGAGAATCTCAGGTTTTTATAATTTTTAGGTAATCCCAATTTATTTTTACTAATTGCTCATACTTTTATATTTATTATATAGGTTGTCTTGTTTTTTCAACTTGGTCATAAAGTATTTTCTTTTTTATGACAGTACTAATTCATTGTTTGTCACGGAATTATCTCATTATCATGAAATATTTAAACCATAACATTTGTCATTGAAACATGTCTTGAATCCCATGGCTTTTGTCATGGGAAAGGTGTTTTTTCCTCTAGCTTTTGAGAATAACCGATACTCAGTTATAGAATCTTGGCATTAACTGTTGGATCTTTATAGTCTTCATGTTGTTACTACCAGCGAAGTAACAGAGAATGGCTCGTCTCTGGATACTTGCACAAAACTCATTTAAAACAGACTTTTTACAAGTTAGCTGATATTGTTTTAGGCTCATTTAATCCACTCTTAAGTTGCATTTTAACCAATAATAACGATATTTTTATATATACATAACCAAGCCAAGTCTTGATTATCTAAGACAGTGATTAACTGAAACAATTGTGAGCAATTTAATGAATTGTTTATTCATGCCAGACTCTACTTTAAATCTTGTCAGTGTAACTCAAAACATTATGACGCTGTATACTAAATTATTCCCTCGAAACTCTTAAAAGTTTTTTGGTTAACCTGAATGGGTATGTTAATCATAAATAATAAAGCTTAAATAACTTAACTGTATGTATATGCTTACACAAGGTTCACAAGAATTATTAAAAGAAAGCTTTCTCTTTTTTAGGAATATTAGAATTTCATGTCTATAAATTATACATTTTATGTTTAGATAATCATGCTTTATTATTAGCATTCCCATTTGATGCAATATACACTTTTTGTAATAAAGTGGCAAGTATCCTTTAGAGAGATAATGGGTATTAGTGACATTAGGCTTACATTGATTCAATGAAAAACTTACTAGATAGGAAACTAAGTTCACTTTTCAGTTGGTGATGAAAGCTTGTATTACTCTGTATGAAACCTACTATACAATATTGTTGAAGGTCTTTGTGTGTGTGCTCTAAGTATACTTTCTAAATTAGTATATATATATATATGTAGCACTGTATACATATAAAACATATGTTTTATATTTACTGCATGTGCATATTAAGGTATGATTGTGTGTGTGTGTGATTACCTAAGTGTAGTTATAGGATGAGAGCTATGCTCGTGGTGTTCTGTCTTCCCAGTACTCTTTGTCGTATAACGTACGTGTGTGTGTGTGTGTGTGTGTATTTACTATTTGTATCTGCAGAATCGAGCTATTAGTTTCTGGACCCTGCCTTTGTAAACAATTTATTTTTCGTCCATTATATATACTACAGTACATATATTTTTAACACACACACACATATATTCAATTGACGATCACAAAACACTGATCATTTTTATGCGGAAAATCCACAGAGAAATGTGAAAGGAAGTGAACGTTTCGGCCTGATTAAAGTCGTTGTCAACACCAGACACAACACCAGAGTCTGGTATTGACAACGGCTTTAATCAGGCCGAAACATTCACTTCCTTTCGCATTTCTCT